GCGTGTGCGCAGGTATACAGGGTGTGTGCGCAGGTATACAGGGCGTGGGCGCAGGTATACAGGGTGTGTGTGCGGGTATTCAGGCGTGTGCGGCTATGCAGGGTGTATACAGGTGAATATTGTGGGCGGTGAATTATGGAAGAGTCTGTGGATTCTAGTTCAGGAAGTACGGCTCAGCCAGATTCTAACCTGAATCTTGTCGCACCATCCAGCGAAATAGCGGAATGTTTGGATGGACATTCCCACGTGGGTCTTTAGCGCCAGAGTGTACACAGCACCTGAGTCAATGGCTTCAATCGTTGCCAGTTCCTCCTGGTGCTGCTCCATCAAGTCTGCAAGTCTACAGGAGTCAATGATACCCAGGAACAGATGATCAAAATATCCATTCAAGCAGCCTCTCTAAGTGCAAGCTTAGCCAAACTAGTTTAAATACCTGGCTCACGGTTAATCAATGGAGCTTTGATGCAGCTTCGTGTCTCCCCAGCTTTGTCCCTGCATCTTCTCTTCCTGGGATAGAGCAGCAGCTCTTTCGTTTGTGTCTTGTTCTCTATGTGTAATCCTGGACATTGAACCTCCACAATGGTTCTACCTCCTTCCACCCTCCCCCCAGGGGCAGACCTGCACCAAGGTCCCTGCCAGACAAAACCTTGAATTGAAAGCCTCTAGCCTTATTTTCAACAGCCATGTTCTCTTGATCTTTGTACTTTCCTCTAGCCTGACAAACCCTGTGAGGTCTCTGTGATCCTCAAATTCTGGTCTGACATGAACTCTCATGCACAGCCACACAATAAGCTGCCTTTGCTTCAAGCTCTCAAATGCCCTCTGTGAACTTCCCCATCACGTCCTCCTTCACTGAGACCATCCTGTTCAACCAGACATCTCCTCAGCTGTGATGGCACATAGTACTGAGGCTCAGCATTAAACATGGTTCTCTCAGAACTATCTTGAGATCAATTACTAAGTTAGTGAAGCTCTTTAAATGCAAGGCATCAAATCCCATCCCGTCTCTGTCCTGGGAGTGGTTGATGGGGGGGACAGTGTGGAGGGAGCTTTACTCTGTATCTAACCCCGTGCTGTCCCTGTCCTGGGAGTGTCTGATAGGGACAGTGTGGCGGGAGCTTTACTCTGTATCTAACCCCATGCTGTCTCTGTCCCTGGGAGTGTTTGATGGGGGACAGTGCAGAGAGGGCTTTACTCCATATCTAACACTGTGCTGTACCCTGTCTTGAGAAATTTGGTTCTGATACTAGTATCTAATAGACAGCTAAAGCCATTCTCAATTCTTCCCCTCTTTCTCCAAGGTATCAATAAAAATAATGAACAGTTAATTCTTTAAACCATTTCCATTATATTTCAGAATCCTCGGATCACTAATGTCCTGTCTCCAATAGAAGTGACAGTCTGCTTTCAGCTTCCCAGACTGAAGAAGGGTCTAGGCCTGAAACGTCAGCCTTCCTGCTCCTCTGATGCTGCTTGGCCTGTTGTGTTCATCCAGCTCTACACCTTGTTATCTCAGATTCTCCAGCATCTGCAGTTCCTACTATCTCTTGATTCACATTTAGCTATTTTACAGGCCCCTGTTCTTTGTGGTGACCTGTTGGTTCTGTTTCTTTATACAGTCTCTGTGAACACGCATTCAGTACTTACTTGTAGATGAGTCTGCCCCGGTCTCTGGGATTCATTCTCCCCCATTCCCCAGTCTCAAAAGCCTCTTTCGCTGCTGCAACAGCCTTGTCAACATCAGCTACCTGAGCCAGTGACACTCTGCAGATCACCTGGGAGACAGAGGCAGTGAGAGAGTGATTGAGAGAGCAGCAGGCAGTGAGACAGACAATGATGGAGAGAGAGAGAGAGAGAGAGTGCGGCACAGGGAGACACAGAGAGAGAAAAGATGGGGGCCAAAGAATGAAAGAGAAAAACCAACATACAGCAGAGCTAGAGAGACAGGGAATGAGATTGTGAAAATGGTTGAGAGAAAGAGAATGAAATAGTTTGTGTGAGATAGAGTTATAAAGACATACAACATGGAAACAGGCCCTACAGCCCAACTCATCCATGCTGACCAGGCTTCCTAAACTGTGTTTGGCATGATGGAGAGAATGAGATATTGGAAAGGGAAAGGGTGAACAGGGATTCTCTCTCTCTCTTTGCTAATAAAAACAGTTTTGTTGGGAGATGTGAACTGAACATTCAGAACTCACAGAGCCATCTGTTGGATTAATCGAGTTGTACCACTTCCCTCCTTCTGCATCGACAAACTGCCCATTGATGAAGACTTGGTGAGGCATTCGTAGAGTCAGGCCATTGATGTTCAACTCAATCTGTCAATTCAAACAGAATAACAATTGTCAGAAAACTGGTCATCGTGGAAACCTTCATGTGTATGTTAACACTGAAAAGTTGCGGGGTGGGGGTAGGTGATTCTGCCCCTGTACCGGAACATTCTAAAATTGGAAAAGATCATGTCCACTTTCTGAGAGGAAAGGGCTTCAACCTGACAGACACCCAAACCAGCTGAGACCGTGACCTCGTTTTGCTGATGTTGTCCTCATCCTTGCGGCAAATCTACTTTAAACATCAGGACAATCTTTAGTCTTTGTTGTGTCATTTATCATTATTAATGTAAGTTCCACGTACATAATCTATTGGCAGCTCTTCCTCATCATCTTCACCCCGCAGTTTCTTCACAAGTGTCTGTGTCAAGTCTCCGAACGTGGTGGCCATGTACACATCTTCATTCTGCAGCTGGAGACCTCCACACTTTAGTTTGATCTCCTCCACCAATCTGCAGACAGCAAGAACAAAAAGAGATTCCTACATCTGTCTGCCGACATTGAGGACTTCAGTCGGGATCACACCACAGCACCACCCCCCATTCTCACGGCATATCAAATTCAACACAATGCTGCCTCCATTGTTTTATCATTCGAGTGATGAGAACATCACTGACTAGGCCAACGTTTATTGCCCACCCCAATTACCCTGAAGTGGCTTGCTTGGGCATTTCAGAGGGTAGTTTGAAGTCAACGACATTGCAGTGAGTATAGAGTCACATGTAGATGAGACCTGGTTTCCTTCCTTAAAGGACATTAGTGAACCAGATGGGTTTCTACAACTGGCAAAGTTAACATTCATCATTCCATATTCTTATTGAATTCACATAGCACCATCTGCCATGGTGGGATTCAAACCTGTGTCCCCAGGACATTAATCTGGGTTGAAACTGGATTGCTAGCCCAGTGACATTACCACTAACCAAATAAACAATTAAAGAACTGCGGATGTTGTAAATCAGGAAACAAAACAGAAATTGCTGAGAAAGCTCAGCAGGTCTGGCAGCATCCGTGAAGGGAAGAAACAGGGTTAACGTTTCAGGTCCGGTGACCCTTCCTCAGAACCCAGTCACTGGACCTGAAACATTAACTCTGTTTCTCTCCTTCACAGATGCTGCCATTACCACTAACCACTTCCCTAGGTAGTTTCCGTGCTGGGATTCTGGGTGAAACTTTGTCTAAATGTCACTGCTGGGGCAGGTTATCGTGGTTAAAGATGCAATATAAAAGCAAGCATGACCAGAGCTCGTAGAATCTGAGGTTTGTAAGAGAGTCAGAAATGGTTTGACTGCAAACCTCTTTTTCTGGGTGTGGTTAGCTGTTAACATTCCCTTCTAAATCCAGGCTGCTGTCATATAGGAAGTAAATTTTACATTTATCACTTTCAGAGCCTTTAATCTCAATGTTTATCATTCTCTAGCGAGCCAGCAATCTTCCGAGTCAGTGTGTCTGATCGTCACACACCTCTTTCAACAATCATTGACCTATTTCTCATTATTTAGTTCATTGTTAGTGTTGTCTCTGGAAAATTCCACCATTGTTGCCCCTCCCAAGTTGCTGTAAAAGGAGGGGGTGGGGTCTAGGAGGGTGGTTAACCTTCTTCTTGAGTCATTGGTAAATGTTTGATGCAACTGAGAGCATAAGGAGCGAATCACCTCGGTGTGGGTCTGGAGTCACATATATGGCCAGAGGAAGGCTGGTTTCCTTTCCTTATGGCTATAAGTGATCAGCTGGGTTTTTAAGGCATTCCAACAGTTTCACCATCACTTTATACTGGCAGCAATTCTTATTTCCGGAATTTTTAAAAATGGAATTTAAGTTTTTTGATTGCCCCTAGCAGGACTCGAACTCATATTGTCCAGACTTTGGGTTACTTGCTCAGAAACGTAACCACTGCTTTCTTACACCATCGAAAAACAACATCACTACAGGCCCTGAAGATCTGAAAATAAAATCAAGAAAGTGCTGAAAACATTCAGCAGGTTGTGGAGAGTGAAACAGGGTTAATGTCCCATCTCATCAGAACTGAGGAATGGGAGATGGTGGCCTAGTGGTATTATCGCTGGACTGTTGATGCAGAGACCCAGATAATGTTCTAGGGACCTGGGTTCAAACGCCACCACAGCAGGGGGTGGAATTGGAATTCAATAAAAATCTGGAATTAAGGTTATGGTCTAATGAGGACCATAAAATGATTGTTGGGGGAAAATCCATCTGGGTCACTAATGTCCTTTAGGGAAAGAAACTGCTAGCCTTACCTGGTCTGGTCTACATGTGACTCCAGACCCACAGCAACGTGGTTGACTCTTAACTGCCCTCTGGGTATTTAGGAATGGGCAATAAATGCTAGCCTCATCCTGTGAATGAATAAATAAAGATAGAACATGATGGATTCTGAGTGACAAAGAGGCAAAAGGAAAGACCTCTCTCAGTGTTGATGACAGTGAGGTTTCATGACAAAAGGCTTCATGGTAGAATGTAAAGTAAAGAAATAAAAACGTCTCCAAAATGATGAATGAATGGCTCAATAGCAGTGACTGAACTCCACGTTGAGTTGAACAAATGTGGATTGGTGGTTCCATTGCTTTTTCTATCCATTTACATTTGGATGTCCAAATCCCTCCCACACCCACCCTTTCTTTCTTCACCCAAATCCAGAAAGCTTTTGTCATTTAATCTCTCCTGACTGTTCCAGGCCTTCCCTTTAGTGCTTCTGCCCTGCCTAGTCCACTATACTGTGCACCGCCCCCCACCCCACCCACCAAAACCCTCGCTCCCCCTGCTCTGTGACCTCCACCAGAAATACCAAAAGCCAGCCTCCTGCTCTCAGGCTCCTGGCCCCAATCCACGCTGGAGCCTGGGAAGGTGGTAGTTTGGGGACTCTAACACCACCCAATCTCACTTCGCTCTGTCCCCAGTGGGGAGGCTGATGGATGGCCACCCCCTCCACTGCCAAATTGGGCCATTAATGAGGTCAATTCATGGTTATTTAATCTCCTCATTCCAACCACCAAGTGCAAACGAACTACCCTTCCAGGGCCCATTAGTTGTATTGTTCCTTCATAATACTAACAACTGGCAAACTTCCCACCTCAACAGTCCCTTGGTCTAACCTGGGTCTGGAGTTACCCGGGTCGGGTGTAACCCGGGCCTGGTCTAATCCAGGCCTGGTCTAACCCGGGCCTGGTCTAACCCCAGGCCTGGTCTAACCCCGGGCCTGGTCTAACCCCGGGCCTGGTCTAACCCCGGGCCTGGTCTAACCCCGGGCCTGGTCTAATCTGAGGCCAGGGTAACGTGCAGCTGAGGAGCGGGTGAGAGACAGTACCTGACCACATCCATCGAGGCAGCTCCTGACTTGAAGAAATCGGTTGAATCCACAATTTCTGTGACATTAGTGAGGATGCCCTTCCAGATAACCTCATCCAAACAAAACGCGGAGAAACATTAAAACCAGGAAGAGGTACAGACACAGAATCAGCAACTGGTAAACTCAAAGCAACACGTTCTCAGAACATAAAAACAATACAAACTTACAGGTCACATCACACCGGGTTATAGTCCAACAGGTTTATTTGAGATCACAAGCTTTCGGAACGCTGCTCCTTCGTCACATGAAGGGGCTGTGGTCCAAAAGCTTGTGATTTCAAATAAACCTGTTGGACTATAACCTGGTGTTGCGTGACGTCTGACTTTGTCCACCCCAGTCCAACACCAGCGACTCCACATCAATGCAAATTCAAGCATTTTTAAAGAAATATTGGCTTAATTTTGTATTTATCCAGATGTAGATGGAAGTGAGGAAATTAAAGGTAAACAGCATTAATATCAAATACTCCCAGGACAGGGATAGCACAGGGTTAGATACAGAGTAAAGCTCCCTCTACAGTGTGTGAGCCATGTAACTCTGTCCCAACTTCAGAATAACTTGTCCTACTTCAGGGTGACGCTTTCTCAATTCTTTCATTTTAAAATTATCAGTGAATTAACTGAAATCATCCTGAATCAGCCCAGCTGTTTAACTGTGGACCCACAGCCAGGATGATTTAAGCTGAGAACACTTAAACTTTTGTCATAGGCCTCCTCACAGCCAGAGAGAACAGAAACCGTAACCCATCAGTCTGAACTGTGAATATGCCAGGACACGTGCATTCAAAATCAGAATTCAAATGCAGATGGGGCTGGAGTTGTGGCTGGGGAAAGAGTCAGGCTGAGGTGATGGGATACTGGAGGACCAGATAGTCCCACTCTTGCTCGTGTTTCCAATCATCCTCCTCTGATTCCTCTATTTGGCCCATCAGACTACTCTTCTCTTCCTGTCTCTCCCATGAGTTTATCCAGATTCCCCATAAATACATTGATATCAATCCTCTGGCCCAGTCCCCCGCGGGAGCAAGTCCCACACTCTCCCCGCTCCCTGCGGGACAGAGTCCCACTCTCCCTGCTCCCTGCGGGACGGAGTCCCACACTCTCCCCGCTCCCTGCGGGAC